CTATGAGTTGGGTCCGACTCAATGGCAAATAACGACAACAACAGCAGTTTGACCCAGCAATCCCATTAGTAGGTATATATCCTAAAGCAGTGGGAGCCAGGACAAGAACAGATATATGCACACCCATGTTCATCGCAGCACTATCTACAACAGCCAAAAAATAGAAACAACTTAGGTGCCCATAAACAGAAGAATGGATAACCAAACTATGGTGCATACACACAGTGGAATACTGTGCAACACTAAAGAATAATGTAGAATCTGAAAAACACCACGTAACATGGATAAACTTGGGGGACATTATGCTGAGTGAAATAAGTCAATCACAGAAGGACAAATATAGTATTAGTTCATTATTGTAAAAAGTCAAGGAAAGGCTTATATATGGAAGGGAACTTACTTTGTTGGCTACCAGGGCTGGGAGGGGAGGGGTGGGAACACTGCAAAGCATTGACCCGTGTCACTTTAGTTTTGTGTATTTCACTGTACATAAATTATTTTTCAATAAAATGTATTAAAAAAATAAGCTAAACAGAAGGATCTCAGTTTATGATTCTGGACTAGACTTGAGAATATTTGATAGAAATGGGATGAGACTCCACTCTCTGAGGCTGGCCCATCAAGTGGCTTCTCTCTGCTCGTGGGAGCCACTTTGGTTGTTGAGTTATCAGCCCTGGGGCACTAACAGTGCCACCTGTGCGTGACTCACCTGTAGACACTAGAAGATGCAGCAAACATGACTGCACAGCTAAGGCACTAAAATACCCAGCTGCTCTTTCCCATGGCCCGTTACCACACATTCTGCCTATCTAGAGGCCTTCAGGCCCAGCACAGAGTGGCCCACCAGCAGCTCATTGCAGGTGAGAGCACGGCACTGTGTTTATCTCTGTGCCGGCCCCAGGTCTCTCCCATCATGGGGTAGTCTAGCTGGGTGAGAAAGGAAACGGTGGCTTTCACAGAAGCGCTGACTCAGCCTGAGAGATGAGTGTGGTGAACAAGCACGTTTCCAAAGTGGTCATGTGGTTTATGGTCACTCACTGCCCGTTTCTGTAGCTCAGCTCATTCTTTCCAGAGTTCTGTGACTTAAAATACTGTGTTCATTTCATAGAGTCAAGCCATCACCTTCATTTAGGTTCAGGAGAACCCAAGAAACAAGCCAAAGTAGGTTGTTAAATAGCGACAGATGAGGTGTTCTGGGCAGCTGGGAAGTGAAGGAGCCATGTTTCTCCCCTGATCCCGCTGAACTCTCCACCTCACTCTGGTTCCC